CGTGCCGTAGCAAGATCGCAAGGAATCAGGGTAGCTAACCCTGTGACATACTGGCCCTCGAAGTTCGGGAAGTTAATTGTGCAACAATATGGCATGTCAGCTGTAGATGTCGACTTCAGTGACTCGACAAATCAGAAGTTGCTGAAAAGGCCACACTAAAAGAGCAAAAAAGGCCACACTAGAAGAGTTAAATTTAAAATCTTTCAGTTGCACATGAGTAGGGAACATTCCCTTGGAATTAAAGCCTTCAGCTTTTACCGTTCCCGAGTTAACAGTTTTCCCATCATAATTTTCACGTGTCCGCACGTGAGTACCGGACGGTTTTAAGGGGCTGAATTTAAAATCTTTTGGTCATGCATAAGTAGGGGAAATTACTCTAAAGTTTCAGCTTTCTAGCTTTTCCCGTTCCTGGGTTAGTAATTTTCGCGCCAAAACTTTCACATGTAACGTACGTGGACCTCGAACGCCTCCAAACAACTGATTTTGATTGTACATGAATAGAGAACATTCCCGGAAAGTTTCAGCTCTCTGACTTTTCCCGTTCCCGGACTAGTAATTTTCGCGCCAAAATTTCCACGCGCTCGTACGTGAGCTCGATCGCTCCTAAACACCTGATTTTACTGGTACATAAGTAGGGAACATTCCCTCAAAGTTTCAGCTTTCTAGCTTTTCCCGTCCCCCGGTTAGTAATTTTCGCGCCAAAACTTCCACGCGCTCGTACATGAGCTCGATCGCTTCTAAACACCTGATTTTCCTCGTACTTGAGTAGGGAACATTCCGCCAAAGTTTCAGCTTCCTAGCTTTCCCCGTTCCCGGGTTAGTATTTTTCGCGCCAAAATTTCCACGCGCTCGCATTTGGGCTCGGGCGCTTTAACCACCTGTTTTAGCTCGTACATGAGTAGGAAACATTCCCTCAAAGTTTCAGCTTCCTAGCCTTTCCCGTTCCCGGGTTAGTATTTTTCGCGCCAAAATTTTCACGCCCTCGTATGCGGCCCGGACGTTTTTAATCACCTGATTTTGCTCGTACATGAGTAGGGAACATTCCCTCAAAGTTTCGGATTTCCAGCTTCTACCGTTCGCGGGCTAGTAAATTTAGCGCCAAAAATTTTCACGCGCCCGTACTTGGGCCGCGGGCAGTCTTAAGGAGCTGAGTTTGAAAACCTTTGGTCGTGCATGAGAAAATATTTTTCCAACGTTTCAACTTTCTAGTTTTTCTCTTCTTCGAGTTATGAATTTCCCCGCCATAATTTTCACGTGCCTGTACGTAGGCCGCGGGCACACCTGGGCAGCTGAATTTGAAATCTTTTTGTCATAGACTGGTGGGGAACATTCCCCGAAGTTTTCAGCTTTCTAGCTTTTCTTGTCCCCGAGTTAGCAATTTTCGCGCCAAAACTTTCACGTGCTCGTACGCTGGGCCCAGACGTGCATGAGAGTTGATATCGCGGTCCTGGGGTGGCACTTGGCTG